TCATAAAAATTTGAAGATATATACACATTATAACCGATAACTAGACGTGGAAATGCAAAGCAGTGCAGTGAACGCGCCGCAAGAGCCTGTTAGTTGACTCTGGTCAACTAGCACCACAATCTTTCGTTTCCCTCACCAGAAAATTGAAATGGCTAATACAGGTTTTTGGCTTTAAAATCCACTGGTAAGAGTCTTAAAACATCGATGCAAATAATACGGGTAAAATCAATTTGACATTTTGAAATACGAGATTTCAATGAAAATATTTGAATATCACTTTCCACACAAGAAAAATTGATGATTTTACTCCATGTTGGCATCATGCTGCCCTGCTGCGCCTAACAAAATTAACTAAATACAGCATAAATAATGGTTACACGTACTCTGACGTAGGGACGGATTCAAAACCGCAATAAATTAAACCCATTGTGACAATGTGATGACAAAATAGCTTCCAAACTAATCTGGAATGCTTTGATGGTAGTGACTTATTGATCGATAAAGTAAACAATCTTAAGTAGAACACGAAAGAGCACAAAGCAACTAACCTATAACAACAAAATACATATGCTACAGTCGTTTCAGTCAAGGTACAGAACAGTGTGCTTGTTAATACTTCCTTAATGAGGAGCTATAATTCTAAGTTGGCTGAGCTTGTCCTTCCTTTAGGGTCCATCCACTGATATAAAAAGAGATGTGAACTTTAATCTAAATTATTTGGTCCCAATGGTAGTAGATGGTCCCTAAAGAAGCGAAGATCCCCTAATAACAACAGAAGAAGTTGTGCTCTCTTCTACAAAAATAGCAACTGACTATTCCAAAAGTCAAGACACGAATTTGGCATGACATGGCCAGATCCATAATCATTACTGGTCGATTAATAAAATCGTTATTCGCCAATAACAAAATTTAAAATGCACAAATTTCATTAAAATTTGAGTAGCACAGAGAACCGTTCGCTTTGTCATCTTCGGTATCTTTTTGGGGGGGTGTGACAACGCGATCAATCCTTTGACAAAAAAATAACGACTTTAAGAGAGAAACAAAATACATCATTGACTAATAATTTCCTATTATTTTTCTTCATAAAAATAGTCACAAAAATTTTCTAATAAATACTTGCGGGCGATCAACGCCTCATTCGCAAACTCGCGACAAGCGCGACAACATGGAAACACAAAAGAAGAAAAATTACCTAATAATGTATTAAAAAGGGTTGACTTCGGATCGACGGCCACCGCTGATCTTGGTCGGGCCGAGGACGCCGTCGGCGACGCGTTGCGCTGAGAGATGACTGCCGCTACGTCAGAGCGTTCGAACCGGGGAGGCCACGTCCGAACAAACACGACGGGGCACGCGAGGCGGCGCCGCTGGTAACTAGGGCGTTGGATGGACTTGAGAGGAGTGTGAGGTCACCGCCAGAGGCTCCAGGACGAGGACGCCGACGAGGAGACGAGGCCGAGCACGGCGACCACGACGGGCAGGAGGTGCTGCCATCTGGCGGACAACGGCCGCGCGGCGGGTGACGCGAAGTCGTTGCAGAGTGCCGAGTCCGGAGGGTAGGCCGTGCAGTGGCTCTGTGAGCAAGACACGAGGGGGTCCATCAGTGATAGCCGTCGTTAAGTTATGAGTAAGCTTCTCCCTGCATTTTCTCATCGTCAGACACTCACCTGGACCAGCGACGAGGCCATCCTGTCCATGAAGCTGTGCGCGAAACGAGCCGTCTCCTCGCCGCACTTGTCCTCCACAACCGACTGCGAGCAGCGGAGGTAGTCTTGGAAAGAGCTGAAACAAACAAAACACGAATTAGTTAATTTTTTCCACTGACACTATTTCACGCTTCAGCAGCGTCTCATCGCAATAAATAATAAAAATCTGCAGTCCTCACCAGCAGAGTGTCCGCAGGTCATCCTCGTGCTCCTGCCGCTCGAGGTCCTCCTCGGTGGCCGTGTGGTTGTGGTGGTGCCGGTAGTGGTGCTGGTGGTTGTGGTGGTGCTGCGAGTGGCGCGCCGTCCGCAGCTTGGTCTTCTGCTCCATCCGGGCCATGCGGTCCTGGTACTTGTCGGAGCACACCTCGTGGTCGCTGCGCACCTCGCTCATGCAGGGCGCGTGCCGCAAGAATTCTGCGGAAAACAAACGTCACAGTTACAATTGAGATTTTGTTTTCAATGATAATATTGAAATACACGAACGAGTCTTTGCCATAACGTCACAAGAGTTTGATAAGCCATTATGATGCCTTCTTAGATACACGCGAATATCACGAAAAGGAAACAAAACTTGACAGATTTGGAAGGGGGTGTGGGGTGGAGGGGCTAACATGAGGTGAGCCGAGCCGGGCCAACGTTACACACAGCAGGGACTCTCGTGGGCGCGATGCTACACACACATAGTACTTCCTGGAGGGGGAGAAGAAGGCCACCGAAAAAAAAAAAACACAACGACAACACAAAAAACACGCAAGCAACGCATTAGATGTGTGCCGGCGCCGTGTGTGTGCGGGGTGGGCGTGATGGGGAAGAGAGACGGAAGATGGAGTCGAGCAGGGGAGTCCCGGGCGGCGCGGGGGAGTGCAGGAGCGACGAGGAGTGTGTGTGGGAGGGCAGAGAGAGAGAAGAGAGAGAGAGGAGAGAGAGAGAGGAGAGAGAGAGAGAGAGAGAGAGAGAGAGAGAGAGAGAGAGGGGCCTGAGGCAGCGAGAGGACTTTCTCATCTCATCGCAGCAGCACCTCGCCTCGCCGCCCGCGGGAGAGCGCCCGACAGGTAGGCCGCGCCGGCGCGCACGCGTGTGGGGCGCTATGCCTAGCCCCGCGGCGCTCTGCTCCCCCGCCCCGCCGAGCCCTCCGGCGAGCGCTCCGCCTCCAAAGAGGTCCCTACTCACCTTCTCGGTACTCGCCGTCCTGGCACAGGTCGTGGATGACCTCGCTCGTGCCGTGGTACAGCTGGTGGAAGTGGGCCCGCTGCTGCTGGTTCATGCACAGCCGGGTGAAGCGGTCGATGCACAGCACGCCCTCGGTCAGTTTCCTGCAACAGGCGAGCGACGAACAAAACCTTTGATTAATTGGGTATGACGTTACGTGATACGACTGTTCTTTCTCTCGTCCGAGACATTTGACCGGGATAAGTTTTGCGTCCTGAGGAGTCCTTATTGCCGGTTGAGGCCAGTCACCAGTCCGCGAGGAAGAAGGTTGGAGCCAACCCCGCACTGAGACAACGCACAGCACAGCCCGAGGCAGAGCGCCGCGTAGCGCTGCCCGCACGACCCCTCCCCTCCCCACCCCGTCTCCGCCAGACCGTTTTCGATTCCGACGTCATGCTCGCTTCAGCATCGCGGCAAACTTACGCCGCCGCTCCGCGATGACGTCGAGCGAAACCCCCGCGCCGCGCCGGGCCCACCTTCGTCACGGCGGAGCTCGTGGAGGAAGCAGCACCAAAAGGACAAAAGGGGAGACGTCGTGTCGTGAGGGGGAGAGCGAAGGCGGAGGGCCGGCCCGCCCGCGCCGCGTCGTGTTGTACGCACCGCTCCCTCATTGACCGGCGCGCGGCTCGTGGCCCACGCCCCCTGCCTCCCCCGCGCTGTCAGCCCGCCGCTAAATGAACTATAGCGGCAGAAGCCGCCGCGGCTCCTCCCTCTGCAGTGTGCGGGGGCGGGCTCGTGCGCGGGGCGTGCGCACGGCCGGTGGGCGTTAAACGCGCCGCTCGCTCGTTGCTAGGCGGCCCCCGCGCGGCCCTTGTGACCCCCCGTGTGACCCCTCCGGAGGGTATGGAGAGAACCACCTGCCTGTCCGCGGGGGTGGGCCATCGCGGGGAGCCCCCGCCGTGTGGAGCGCCACGCCAACTCCCCGCCGCGTGTAGTGTGAGGTGTGGTGGTGGTGGTGGTGGTGGTGGTGGTGGTGGTGGTGGTGGTGGTGGTGGTGGTG